TTGTCTTGACAAGGTATTGACCAGTGTAGACCTGTTGTCTTGGCAAGGTATTGACCAGTGAAGACCTGTTGTCTTGGCAAGGTATTGACAAACATTACATACATGGAGATCAAGTCAAGTACACTGCCAGTGTAGACCTGTTGTCTTGGCAAGGTATTGACCAGTGAAGACCTGTTGTCTTGACAAGGTATTGACAAACATTACATACATGGAGATCAAGTCAAGTACACTGCCAGTGTAGACCTGTTGTCTTGGCAAGGTATTGACCAGTGTAGACCTGTTGTCTTGACAAGGTATTGACCAGTGAAGACCTGTTGTCTTGACAAGGTATTGACCAGTGTAGACCTGTTGTCTTGGCAAGGTATTGACCAGTGAAGACCTGTTGTCTTGACAAGGTATTGACAAACATTACATACACGGAGATCAAGTCAAGTACACTGCCAGTGTAGACCTGTTGTCTTGACAAGGTATTGACAAACATTACATACAGGGAGATCAAGTCAAGTACACTGCCAGTGTAGACCTGTTGTGTTTGAGTGAATGAGTGAGTGAGTTATATTTGTCATCAAGCGATGGAAACTGGGTATTAGTTTTATATATCTGTCGACAAAGGACAGTAAAATAGTAAGGTATATCACAGTTTTTGAATAAAACAAACCAGATCCCGCCAAAAATCATATAGTTATACATGTACTCAACAACAAAAGTTCCTATGACACCAATATTTTAGTATATTTTTCAAACAAGTAAAGTTTGGTTTTCAATAATGTAGTACATGTATGGAATCAAGTCACAAAAACGCAACTGCTACAGAAAAGCATGTATTCCATGCAAAAGTTGACTTTTATGCAAGCCCAATGCATTTCACTACATTGTCTCGTAGGTTTACTTGTAGCCTTCCTCGAGGTGATAAATTTTCTCACGGCTGTACTCGTAGCCGAGGTCGTGGTGAACTCAACCCGTATTTCACAAACCCCGTACAGCTGTGTTTCTTCAATGTGCTCGAATGTATGCTTTTATGAGAATTAACATGCATCATCTTGCTGCAGCCTCCAGAAAAGCATACATTCCATGCAAAAGTTGACTTTATGCAAGCCACATGCATTTCACTACCCAAGAATGGATATAAAAACATGTGCGTTAACGGGATTCCATATGCATTGTTTAGCATCATGCTGGCAACAACCACTCAGAAAAACAACACAATTACGCAATTATTCATTATTACGAAATCCCACGCCTGTCCGAAAATGAGTGTCCGCGAGCCATTGGGATGCTTGAAGCAGGATCGAATCAACGTGATGCTGCAAGACAATTTAACGTCCACAGAAACACCATTTGGTGTATATGGCAACGTTGGCAACAAACGAATGCAATCAGAGACCATCCTCGGAGTGGCAGGCCACGCGTAACCAATAATTGACAAGACAACTGGATTCGAACAACACACCTACGAAATCAATTCAAGCCAGCAACAGTGACTGCAAGAAGCATCCCTGGCCTTCGACGAATATCTTCACAAACCGTACATCGTCGCCTCAGATGTGCAGGGACTGTCGCCAGAAGACAGTTTGACAGGAAACCACCGTCAAGCACGTCTACAGTGGTACAGACAGCGTCTACACTGGACGGACATGCAGTGGGGACAAGTTCAATTCCCTGACGAGTCTCGTTTTCACCTCAGCCACTGCGATGGACGGATTCGAGTGTACCGACGTCGAGGTGAACGTTACGTCAATCATTGTGACATGGAAGAAGATCGGTTCGGGGGTGGCAGCGTTATGGTATGGGGAGGGATAACAGCAAGACAGAGGACCCGTTTGATAGTGGTAGAGGGATACCGCGAAGAGATCATCAGCCCTGTTGTTCTACCGTTTTTGCTTCGTCATGGCCCTGGCATTATCTTTCAACATGACAACGCCCGGCCTCATATTGCGCGACTTGTTCAGGATTCTCTTCAACAAAACAACGTGAATGTCATCCCCTGACCGGCTCGCTCCCCTGATCTCTCACCTATCGAGCACATGTGGGATGAGATGGATCGGCGCCTTCGACGTCAACCACGTGTTCCACAGACACTCAAGGAACTTCGAAACATGCTCCATCAGATATGGACAGATATCCCACAGGTATATGCTGAATAGTGAGGTGGTGTACCATAATCTTGTAAATCACTGTATATCAAAATCTGAGATAATGTAATGCATGCAATATGAAGAGTAATGAATTAATATACATATAAAGCAGCTCCATACAATCTGGTGCCGTTCTGCCAGGACCATCTCTGTTTTACCTGTCAGGTAGGGGGACGGGGATTATCCGTGCAGCCAACCCTGTCCTATATTGTTTGAGGGTGAGTGACAAATGTGATGTTTGACAGATGGGAGGATAACGATTGTCGGGCTTGTTTTCAGCTGCCGTTGTATGGCAGGAGTATTGCTCTGCAGTGTCAGGCCACAAACAAACACGTTCCTTGTTATGCAAACTGTGTGAGTGGCGGGTGCTGCCTGCATGCTGCCGGACATGCTTGGCCATTTCCCGAAAACCTGGTGTCACGATACATTTTCTGTGATCCATTCATGTAAGTTTCACGGCCAGTTTGCCTTTTACGACCAATGAAAATGTTTCATCGGAAGTTACCGAGAAAACAATATGTGAAATGAATTGTTTGATAGATCACAAAGTAGTCACAATTTATATATAACAACTTCTTTATTTACTGTCAGGCGACGTTTCGGTATAGATCCTAATACCGCTGTCACTTTAATATATGAAATGCTTTACTTCCTCCTCAAGGAGAAGTTTAAATTGACATTTTGGGATAATGCATTTAGGCAAGGAGTAGGCATCCCCAAGGCACAAATTGTGCTCCCCTCCTTGCTGAGGTGTTCTTGAAGCATATGGACCGGAATTTCTACACGGATTGGCAAAGTAAAAAACACCAAAAAACGTTATCTCAACATTCAGGCAATTGATGATCTGATATCGTCCAATAACTTTCATGAAGCCAAGTCCCTTCCACTGATTTACCCACCTGAGCTGGAGGTAGGTGTCCGGGAAGACCGCCTCGTGTGTTTCCTATTTCGAGCTGTGCATAAAGATTCAGTGACAAAACACTCTCCACACGACTGTATGACAAGAGTGATGACTTCAACTTTCTAATAGTCAAGCAATATGGCAGCAGCTCCAGTCACAACGTTCCTAAGTACAGTTGCGTCATACGACCCTTGATTAGGGTCACAACGTTCCTTAGTACAGTTGCGTCATACGACCCTTGATTAGGGTCACAACGTTCCTAAGTACAATTGCGTCATACGACCCTTGATTAGGGTCACAACGTTCCTAAGTACAGTTGCGTCATACGACCCTTAATTAGGGTCAAAACGTTCCTAAGTACAGTTGCGTCATACGACCCTTGATTAGGGTCACAACGTTCCTTAGTACAGTTGCGTCATACGACCCTTGATTAGGGTCACAACGTTCCTAAGTACAGTTGCGTCATACGACCCTTGATTAGGGTCACAACGTTCCTAAGTACAGTTGCGTCATACGACCCTTGATTAGGGTCACAACGTTCCTTAGTACAGTTGCGTCATACGACCCTTGATTAGGGTCACAACGTTCCTAAGTACAGTTGCGTCATACGACCCTTGATTAGGGTCACAACGTTCTTTAGTACAGTTGCGAAGACGTCGTATGGAAGACGTGTGGAGGACATTTCCAAATTGACGCTAACGGCAGGGCAGAATCAGGTCACATACTCGTGAACTCCTGATATTATCACTATTTCCGAACTGTCTCTGAACCTCACCGCCCTTGAGCGCTGTATTGATGACATACGATCCTGGATGAGCTTCAATTATCTCAAACTCAATGAAGAGAAGACTGAGTTTTTAATCCTTGGTTCACGACAGCAAGTCAGAAAGCTTCACCCTGACTCTGTATACCTTCATATTGGTGATACCACTGTGTACCCAACTGCCAGTGCCCGTAATCTGGGAATCACCTTTGATTCAACAATGACCATGGACACTCATATTTCACTAACTAGCAGAGCATGCTTCCATAGCATCTATAACATCAGTTAAGTCCGGCATCTACTTGATACTCCAACAGTTAAATTGTTGATGCAATGTCTTGTGACCTCAAGACTGTATTACTGCAATGCATTGTATGCTAATCTTCCCATGAAAGCCATATCAAAGCTACAACGCATTCAGAACTCTGCGGCTAGATGCATCTCTAAAGTTCCAAGATCCAATCACATCAGTCCTGTCCTCAAAGCACTACACTGGCTTCCAGTCTCCTTTCATATAAACTATAAGATATGTATCATCACTCACGACTGCCTCAACAATAGCGACTATCCAGACTATCTCAAAGATCTTATATCTCTGTACACTCCAGAGCGTGCTCTCCGATCCTCTGGTGGAACTCTACTGTGTCAGCCTCTGTCTACTTCTGCTATGTCTGACCGTGCCTTCTCCTTTTGCAGTCCACAGTTATGGAACGCTTTGCCTTTGAATCTGAGAAACTCTGCTTCTAAGGAAACATTTAAGTCTCTCCTTAAAAACCAC